CCCAGCCTCCTGCGCCTGTGCGGCTCCTTGGCCCAGCTGGCATGCGTGGAGCCTGTGCGCCTCCAGGCCTGGCTGACCCGGATGACCACCTCACCCCCAAAAGAGTCTGACCAGCTGGAGGTGGTGCAGGAGAACAGGCAGCTGCTCCAGCTGCTGACAACCTACATTGTCCGAGAGAACAGGTAGGTGGGGAGCTTCTCCTTTTTAGCCACATGGGAAGCTGCTTTATATGGAACCAGACCATTGGTCTATTTAGCTCAGTACTCTCTGCACCAGTGGTTCCCAAAGTGGCAATACTGTCCCCTGAGGATGGGGGTGGAATTACCTAGGAGGCCTCTAAGAGGCAGAGGAGTTGGTGATGCAAGACTCCTGCTAAGGGACTTGAAATCAGACATTGGGAAACTGGTGCCACTTCCTCAGGCTTTGATCACCTAATGTTTATTGGATGGATTTTCCCCTAAATTGATTTTTGAATTTATTGTTATTCACAATTTTATATTGTATTTTATGCTGTTTTTTGTTGTATCACAATTAAGTGTTTTAAATTTATTGTTAGCCACCCTGAGCCCAGTTTTCTGAACCGGGAAGGGCGGGGTATAAATAAAAATATATTATTATTTATTATTAAGAAGTTACCGACAACGAAGTAGTTAGTAAGCGTCATATCAGAGGCTCTTGCAATTAGCAGACTTTGAAAAGCTGGTATCACTGGATCAGGTTCATCAGTTTGCTGGATTGATTAACCTGAATAACTTTGATTGGATTTGGAATGAATGTGCAGATAATTGAGTTTCATTGTGTTACTACCTTCCATAGCAGGTCATGCAAACCACTATTCTGAATGATGCTTTTTGTAGGGCGTGGGGCGCTGGGGATGAGTACATGGAACCAAGGGGGTGCTGGGGCCCTGAAAACAGTTCAGGAACCAGTGATTCATACACTGACTGGCAGTGGCTCGCCTGGGTTTCAGAGCAGATTCCCAGCTCTACCTGGAGATGCAGCCGGCGATTGGAGCCGGGACCGTCCGCATTCAAAGCAGCCGCTCTGCTGTTAAGCGACTGCCCTCCCCCGTAGCCTCCCAAACCCCTGTTTTGATTCAAGTGGTTACAAGCATCAGCTGTCAGGATGCTTCCCTACAGTAAGTACAGTGGTACCTCGGGTTACATACGCTTCAGGTTACAGACTCCGCTAACCCAGAAATAGTGCTTCAGGTTAAGAACTTTGCTTCAGGATGAGAACAGAAATCGTGCTCCGGCGGCGCGGCGGCAGCAGGAGGCCCCATTAGCTAAAGTGGTGCTTCACGTTAAGAACAGTTTCAGGTTAAGAACGGACCTCCGGAACGAATTAAGTACTTAACCCGAGGTACCACTGTAAATGGGAATGACTTGATCTCGGTGTGATGGGCTGCTACTGTCTTGCCTTTCCAGCCAAGTCGGGGAAGGCGCCTGCACTGTCCTCCTGAGCACCCTGATCCCGATGGCCACGGAGATGCTGGCAAATGGTGACGGAACCGGCTTTCCCGAGCTGATGGTAGTCATGGCCACCCTGGCCAGCGCCGGTCAAGGGGCGGGGCACCTCCAGCTTCACAGCGCCGCCGTCGATTGGCTGAGCAGATGGTAAGAAGGGTGGTGGGAAGTGTCTTGTCTTCTGTGTCAGCCTCTCCCTCTCCTGAACAGAAATGGCTTAAATGTGGTTGGATGGTTTGTATTAAAGATGCAAAGGCGTTTGCCTGTCCATAGCCTGGAACGGTGAACTGTGCCACTGGGGCAGGGCATGCCTTCTTTTCTTTTCTTTCTTTCTTTTATTTGATTTTCAAGATTTAATTATCATTATGAATAACGATCTGGTAGGAAATACGTAAGAAGAAAATGGGGGGACGGACAGCGGTAACAAAACAACAACCAGGGTTCACAGCCATTGCATCATAAAATAAAGTATGTTCTCAGGAGACTATACATTGAATTAGATGTTACGACAAAATCCTACCTGAAAGAGTACAGAGCTAAAATTACAAATTCCAAATGTTGCCATATTTCATTGGGACTTGTCATTCCTGTGATTAGGTTGGAGATCCAATATTCTAGGCCAATTTTCTGCCATCTTCCCCGCCAACCACTCTTTTTATCTCACGCTGTTCTAGCAAGAAATACTTGTCTCAGAAGAACGTCGTTGAGAAAATGAATGCCAACGTCATGCATGGAAAGGTAACGCCTATCTTTGCTTAAGGGGTATGTGCAGTCAATTCCTTTGTGGTCTTGTAGATCAGGCAGCACCAAGGGGGAGCCAGGGAAGAAGGGGTGGAGGACAGGGCAATATGGAGCCTCCTTCCTGAACACAAGGGTGATCCTTCCCTGCATAGAGAATCTTGTGCTCGGTCTGTCATGGTGACTTTTGCCCAACATTTGAGGGAAGCATTGTTGTCTCTGGCAGTCTACTCTGGGATTCCACCCCAGTGGATGCAGTCCAGAGAAACCCACCTTTGCTTTGTGCAGTTTAGTAGAATCAGCTTGGGAGGTATATCTGAATACTTCCCATGGCAGGGAGCTGCCTTATACTGAGTTAGACTATTGGTCCACCTAGTTCAGTATGGTCCGCACTGACCGGCAGCAGCTCTCCAGGGTTTCAGGCAGGGGACATTTCCAGGCCTACGTGGAGATGCCTTTGTGGGTTAAACCCGGGACCTCCTGCTTGCAAAGAGGTGCTCCACCACTGAGCTATGGCCCATCCACCGTGGGGTGGTGGAGAGAAGACTTCTTCTTGGAACAAGGGGCATATTCCAGCCAGGCAAAAGCACTTGGGGAGGGCATGCTCGGTGGAGAGTCCCAGGGGGCAGAACAGAGAGGCCCACAGGCCTGAGTCTCTCAGCAGAGTCAATGCTGCAGCCTGACTGTCACGTTGCAGCAGGATTTAGTAGAAAAGGCCTCTATCTGTGTGACTGAATGCCTCCTCCTCCTCCTCTTACCTCTTGCAGCACGTGACTATCCTGGAATGCACCTGCCATATCGTCTCCTACCTGGCTGATGTCACCAATGCCCTGAGCCAGACCGGCGGGCAGGGCCCCAGCCACCTCTCAGTCGATGGGGAGGAGCGGGCCATCGAGGTGGACTCGGACTGGGTGGAGGAGCTGGCTGTGGAGGAGGAGGACTCCCAAGCTGAAGACTCGGTAGGTGGCCTGAGACTCGCTTGGCAAACTGGTCTAGCAAAGTGGTGAGACCACTGTGTTCTATGAAACGGTTTATGAAGACAAAACACTAAATTGTAAAAGACCCCTTACATTTAAGGCTTCCTTCTTTGCCTTTGCGTGAGGCTAACTCGGATTGGTTAAATTTAAATTTAGAAGGGCTCTTAATCTTCCAAAACCAACAGATGTGATGGTAAAACTGTGCCCATACTGTACAATTTTCAGGTACCACATGCATGAGGATTTCCATGAATGAAGGCTGTTTCATATATATTTTTACAAAAACCTTGCAGTGCAGAAAAGTAGGGCATTTGGGAGAAGGTGGCTCTGGTTTAGCCTTCTCCTGGAGTTTCTGCTAGTCTACATGCAGAGATTTTATCGCTTTTTTAAAACAAAGGAGCATTCAGCCAAGTGAATTACCTACAGATCTGATACCTCTTCAGCTGGTTGTGAATACAAAGCCATTGTGTTGACACTGGTCTGAAGAAAGACTGTGTAGCTTTCCAGCTAAAAGTCCCTTTCCTCTCCTCTCTGGTGTGTGTATGTGTGTAGGATGAGGACTCGCTCTGCAACAAACTTTGTACGTTTACCATCACTCAGAAAGAATTCATGAACCAACACTGGTGAGTCACCCTTGGGGGGCTTCTCTGTGGTTACCCGTTGTCTTGTGGCATTTGTCAGCCTGATAGCCCTGTCCTGGTGACCCAGGGTAGGGGGAAGTGCCCAGTGCTGTGCTGGTCATCCAGCAGCCAGTCATCAAGAAATAAAAACCCTCGCTCTGCAGGTACCACTGCCACACCTGCAAGATGGTCGACGGCGTCGGGGTCTGCACCGTTTGTGCGAAGGTTTGCCACAAGGACCACGAGATCTCGTACGCCAAGTACGGCTCTTTCTTTTGCGACTGTGGGGCAAAGGAGGACGGCAGCTGCCTGGTATGCTTCTCTGGTGATCGGGGATGTTGCGATCTGTGGGGTGGTGTTGGTGGTAGCCCAGGCGGCACGCCGCAGGGGTGAAGCCACGTGCCGTGTGTGAGCCTGACCACACGGAAATCCTGCTCCTGATTTTGCAGGCCTTGGTGAAGAGGACGCCCAGCAGCGGCATGAGCTCCACCATGAAGGAGTCTGCATTCCAGAGCGAGACCCGCGTCCCTGAGAGCGTCGTCCGGCACTCCAGCACCTCCCCCACGGACAAATCCAAGACCTCCATCAACGACGGGCGGGGAGGGTCTGACGAGGAGAAGCCCAAGAAGAGCAGCCTGTGCCGTAACGTGGAGGGCTGCCGGGAACAGCTGCAGTCCCAGGTACGGCCCTGCTGAGCTGAATAATATAATAATAATAATAATTTATTATTTATACCCCACCCATCTGGCTGAGTTTCCCCAGCCATTCTGGGCGGCTCCCAATCAAGTGTTAAAAACTTGATTGGGAGGCTGAAGGCCTCTCTCTTCAAGGGAGGAGCCTGGTGGCACCATAGGGAAGTTGGGGGGCACCTGCCCCTTGAGATCAGGAACATAGGAAACTCCCTTAGGCCGAGTTAGGGCAATTGGTCCAACCAGCTCAGTATTGTCTACACTGACTGGCAGCAGCTCTCCGGGCTTTCAGGGAGGGAGTGTTTCCCCAGCCTTTCCTGGATTGAACCGTGGGCCTTCTGCATGCAAAGCGGGCGCTCTGCCACTGAGCTTCCGCTAAATAAAGTAAGATTCTAGTCCTCATGATTCAGAATGAAGTTCTGAGTTAAATCGAAAGCTGTCTGATACTGAGCCAGACCCTTAGTCCATCTAGCTCGCTGGCAGTGGCTCTCCAAGGTTTCAGCCAGGAGTCTTTGCTGGTTAGGGTCAGAGATTTAACCTGGGACCTTCAACATGCAAGGCAGATATTCTTACCACTGAACCATAAAGGTAAAGGGACCCCTGACCATTAGGTCCAGTCATAGCCGACTCTGGGGTTGCGGCGCTCATCTCGCTTTACTGGCCGAGGGAGCCGGTGTACAGCTTCCGGGTCATGTGGTCAGCATGACTAAGCTGCTTCTGGCGAACCAGAGCAGCGCACGGAAATGCCGTTTACCTTCCCGCCGGAGCGGTACCTATTTATCTACTTGCACTTTGATGTGCTTTCGAACTGCAAGGTTGGCAGGAGCAGCGACCAAGCAACAGGAGCTCACCCCATTGTGGGGATTCGAACCACCGACCTTCTGATCGGCAATCCTAGGCTCTGTGGTTTAACCCACAGCACCACCCCCGTTCCCCATTGAACCATATCCCTTCCCTATTGTTCACTTGATTTGCTGCCAGAGCCCTTGAGAAGCAAGGAGGCCACTAAGGCTGTTTCCTTTCTTTCCCCACCCCCCACCAATCTTGCTGCAGGCCAACTTCTCCTTTGCTCCTCTGGTGCTGGACATGCTGAACTTCCTCATGGAAGCCATCCAGGTCAACTTCCAGCAGGCCTCAGCCATGGGCAGCAGCAGCCGAGCCCAGCAGGCCCTCAGCGAGCTCCACACCCTGGACAAGACGGTGGAAATGACAGATCAGCTGATGGTAAGAACCTTGTGGTTTCATTTGAAGCACACAGGCCCGCGGCTCCTCAATAGTCTTCCCTTCTCCCGAGGGACCCCAGGAGCCCATCCCCAGTGGCCAACTCACCTCCTTTCACTCCAATTGGCTCCAATCAGCAGGGGCCCTGCTGCAGAAATAGTAGCAGGTCTTTGATCCCCACCCCACTCTGCCGACAGCCCCAGACCACTACACATCTGAACACAGGAGGTGGCATTCACTCTCTACTTTCATGCTTTACATAAGAGCTGATCACAAGAGCACTCTCCCCTCTTGAGGTTTCCAGCAACTGGTATTTGAAAGCATTGCTGCCTCCTGCTGTGGAGGCAGAGCATAGTCATCATGGCTAGTTGCCATCGGTACCCCTCTTCTCCATGAATTTGTCCAGTCCTCTTTCGGACCCGCCCAGGTTGGTGGCTATCTCTGCTTCCTATGGCAGCGAGGTTCCACAGTTTTATCTCTGTGCCACGTGAATAAGTTTTTTATCTGTTCCTCATCTCCCAGCGTTCAGCCTCATGGGCTGTTCACAGATTCTAGTGTTCTGAGAGAGGGAGAAAAAACTTTTTGCTATCCACTTTACACCTCGCTGCTTAAGGCTTTGACTTCAGCCTTGGCAGGGCTCCAGACGCACTTCTGCCATAGCCGGGAGGAAGCAGAGTTCATCGTTATGACTTCTGCCCAGTATTAAGCATGAGCAGAGACTCTTCCTTCCTCTGGTGTGGCACCGCTCACTGGCTTGGCCTCTTCTGTGCTCTGCCCACTTCCCCAGGTGCCAACTCTCGGCTCCCAAGAAGGTGCCTTTGAGAACGTCCGCATGAACTACAGCGGGGACCAGGGCCAGACCATCCGGCAGCTGATCAGCGCCCATGTACTGCGGCGAGTGGCCATGTGCGTGCTTTCCTCGCCTCATGGGCGCCGCCAGCATCTGGCCGTCAGCCACGAGAAGGGCAAGGTGAGTCTAGACGGAGCAGGGAAGCATCTACATTTGGGGCAGCCACCTGCAGTGTGTGTGTGCATTTTAAAAATCAATACGTTTTATTTCATCTTCCACATATACATATTACACTACGAATGAAGCTCGTCCTACCCAGAGTAGACCCGCTGAAATGAGGAAAACAAAATTAGTCCTCTCCATCAACTTCAGTAGGTCTGCTGTGAGGAGGACTAGTCTTTGATACGGCCCCATGAGCTTCTTTCATCAAACAGAGAGCCAGCATATGGTGTGGTGGTTAAGAGTGCTGTTCTAGGACAGGGGTCAGCAGCCTTTTTGGTCCACTGTCCCTCAGACCATGTGGTGGGCCGGACTATATTTTGAAGAAAAAAATGAACGAATTCCTACGCCCCACAAATAACCCAGAGATGCACTTTAAATAAAAGGACACATTCTACTCATGTGAAAACACCAGGCAGGCCCCACAAATAACCCAGAGATGCACTTTAAATAAAAGGACACATTCTACTCATGTGAAAACACCAGGCAGGCCCCACAAATAACCCAGAGATGCGTTTTAAATAAAAGGACACATTCTACTCATGTAAAAACACGCTGATTCCCGGACCGTCTGCAGGCCAGATTGAGAAGGCGATTGGGCCACATCCAGCCCCCAGGCCTTAGGTTGCCGACCCCTGGTCTAGGACCTGGGAGATCAGGGTTCAAATCCCCAGTAAGCTGAGGCTTTCTGGGTGACCTTGGGCCAGTAATGGTCTCTTAACCTAAACTACCTTGCATGGTTGTTGTGGGAATTGAATGAGGAGGTGGAGAACCAGGTATGGCACTTTGAGTTCCTGGAGAAAAGGTGAGATATAAATGCAATAAATAAATAACTATTAAGTTCAAAATACGTTGGAGTATTAATAATCTTACGTTTAATTATATATATGCATAATAAAATAGCTTGTTGGTGCCATATATCATTACTTAGCAGCTCATCCTTCTACAGAAATAAAGAACTATCTGGTCTGTAAATGCACAAAGTCAGCTCCTTATCTTGAAATTCTCAGTTGTCTCTTTTTGTATTGAGTTACCAGGCTCCCATTTATCAGTAGCGTCTCACAAAAACATACTTTCCCCCTTTAACACAACTGTTTAGCTTAGCTATATTTTGACTGTTCTCATTGTTGCCTTACAAAGCTCTGTGCATTTACATAGTCTTGTAGTGGAATCTGGGAAACTTTCACGAGCATAATGGTACCGTAGAGATGAAGCCGGCAGCTCTGGGCTGTTCAGTTCCCATTCAAGTGCCAAAGTGCCTCACACACTCTCTGCAACATCTCATGATCGTATTTTGCTCTTAAATGCAGATCACGGTCTTGCAACTCTCGGCGTTGCTGAAGCAAGCTGATTCCAGCAAACGGAAACTGACCCTGACTCGCCTGGCATCCGCCCCGGTTCCCTTCACTGTGCTGAGCCTGACGGGGAACCCTTGCAAGGAGGACTACCTGGCTGTGTGTGGGCTGAAGGTAAAAAGCATGGCAGCAGCCTCTGGGGCCACAGCACCGCTGCCTCTCTTGGCATGACTACATTGGATCCATTAATAGCAGTGGGATAAAATATTTTCTCCAGTTAAAAAAATAAATACAAAAAAGCTACATTGACATAGTAAAAGAGTGTAAACATAGGACAGCTCGGAAGAGATGCCTCATGTAGTGGTGGTTAGAACCTGGGGGGATTTGAACTGGGGGGAGACCTGGGTTCAAATCCCCACTTGGCCCTGAAGTTCACTTCTCAGCCTAATCTACCTCACAGGGTTGTTGTAGGAATTAATTGAGGAGAAGAACAACCATGTGCGCCACCTTGAGCTCCTTAGAGAGAAAGTGGGATATGGATGCAATCCATCAATCATTTTCCAGTTTCCGTATATTAACAACTTATGCATTCTCTCCAGCATTTAATCGGTTTATTTCAATTTCTCTCTCCCTTGACAGGACTGCCATGTGCTCACCTTCAGCAGCTCTGGATCTGTCTCGGACCACCTGGTCCTTCATCCTCAGCTGGCCACGGGCAACTTCATCATCAAAGCTGTGTGGCTGCCAGGCTCGCAGACGGAGCTCGCCATCGTCACCGCGGATTTTGTGAAGGTGCAGTGAAGTTGGGAAATAGGTTGGGGGCAAAGGATGGGACCTTTTAGGGTCTGATCTAGAGAAGTTTGCCGTTGTGCTGCTCCTCAGCTGGGTATCCTGGACCCAAGCTGCTAAGGGCCTTGTAAATTAATGCAATTTTTTTTTAACCCGGCCCCATAACATGTGGGCAGACACTGCTGACTTTGGAGCAATGGAGTTATGTCCTGGTGGTAGTCTGTCCCCATCGACAGTCAAGCCACAGCATTTTGACCCAGCAGGAGCCTCAAGGGAAACCCAGAAGTTAGACCTGAGCATTGCAGCGCTCTCCCCATTTGAGATTCCCAGCAGTTGGCTTTTAGTCCATCATTATGCATCTAGCTTCTGACTGTAGCCCTTTTTGTTGGCCCCAAACTACTAACTGTGCCTTCTGTTCCAACAGATTTATGACCTCTCGGTGGATGCCTTGAGCCCGACTTTCTACTTCCTGCTGCCCAGCTCCAAGATCAGGGACATTACTTTCCTGTTCAACGAAGAGGGCAAGAACATTGTGGTCATCATGTCGTCTGCCGGCTACATCTACACCCAGCTCATGGAGGAAGCCAGCAGTGCCCAGCATGGCCCTTTCTATGTCACCAATGTCCTAGAAATCTCACACGATGACCTGAAGGTAACACAGCACTGCTGGATCGATGAAGGTTTCACAAATACGACATGACAGCCTTAAACAAGACCCCCTCTCTGTTTGGCTCTTCCCCTTCTGGGACATCACTGCTCACCCCTAACTATGAACAAGTTAAAAAGCACAGGTCCCAGTACCAGTTCTTGCGGGGCGCCACTTTCTACATCTCCCCATTTGGAGAACTGTCCATTTCTTCCTATTTTTTGCTTCCTGCTACTTAACCAGTTCCTGATCCACAAGAAGACCTCTCCTCTTATTCCTTGACTGCTAAGCTTACTCAGGAGTCTTTGGTGAGGCACTTCTTTTTGAAGGTCCAAGTATACCATCTCTACAGCTTGTTAACACTCTCAAAGAACTCTTAATAGGTTTGTGAGTCAGGGCTCTGCTTCAGCAAGGCTTGTTCTTCTGCATACTTGGTTATTTTATCCTTAACAATACTTTCCACCAGTTTTTCCAGTTAAGCTAACAGGACTGCAATTCACAGCATTCACCCCCCCCCCAATGCTCTGATCCTGTTTCAGTCTCTTCCCCTTCTCGAACATGTCTCCTGGCATCCAGCAAAATGTGGCCGTGTGTTTAAGAGGGTATGTTCAGTATAGCAAGCACAAATGGAAATTGAGCAGGTAGATCAACAGGTTATTGTGCATTCCTGAGAGGATATTTTCCTGCGTTGTCCCGAACCCAGTCCTACACAGAGTAGACCCATTTAAATTACTTAACCCAGTCGCTAAAAACTGCAGGAGGGGCAAGTGCTTTTGTGGTTGGGTCCTGCTTATGGGTTGGGGCATCTGGGTGACCACTGTGAGAACAGGATGCCGGGCTAGATGGGCCACTGGCCTGATCCAGCAGTCTCCTAAGTTTTCATGCCTCTTCATTTCAGTGGATCTCCTCTTGAGTGGGACTCACATTCATAGAATCAGAGAATTGTAGAGTTGGAGGGAACCCTGAGGATCATCTAGTCCAGCGGTTCTCAACCTGTGGGTTCCCAGATGTTGTTGGACTACAACTCCCATCATCCCTGAGCTCTGGCCTTGCTAGCTAGGGGTGATGGGAGTTGTAGTTCAACAACATCGGGGGACCCACAGGTTGAGAAAGGCTGATCTAGTGTGACTCCCTGCAATGCAGGGATATAAATCTGTCCCATTGGATTGGCTGCAACCCTGAGACTTTTCGCGGGCGCTGCTGGCGCTTGTGGGTACTCCCTTGGCGACCCTTGGTCTTGCCACTGCATCACCCTTGACATCCTTTCCTCCCACAAGCAGTTTGGCCTCAGGAGGACCTGGCATCGCATGAACTTCCTCAAATGCCACATCTAAGCAGCGTTTGGGCCAGGGAAAGCATTTCCCAGTTTGCCTTCTTGGTAGCCTTCACAGTCCCGAGTCGCATCCAGAGGTCCCGACATGCCTCTTTTCTCCCTGTTCCCTGCAGGACAGCAATGGTCAGGTGGCCGGAGGCGGTGTTTCTGTCTACTATTCCCACGTCCTGCAGATGCTGTTCTTCAGCTACTGCCAAGGCAAGTCCTTTGCGGCCACCGTCAGCCGGGCCACGCTGGAAGTCATGCGCCTCTTCCCCATCAACGTCAAAAGGTGAGGCCAGCTCCCCCACCTCCTGCTCCTGTGGCATTTTGTGAGGTGGCTGTTGGGAACAACTTTCTATACAGTAGGCTGTGGAGCCTAGGGAATTGCTTTCTACTGAGCCAGACCACTGGTCCCCCTAGCTCAGTACAGTCTGCACTGACTGCCAGCTGTTCTCCTTAGTTTCAGGTGGGGAACATTCCCAGACATACCGAGGAGTGAGTCCATGGGGTTTTGAACTTGAGACTTCAGACATTCTTCCACCGAGCTATAACTCTTCCTTTAGAACACAGGAACGTAGGAAAATGCCCTCTGCATTGTCTACACTGATTGACAGCAGCTCTCTAGAGTTTCAGACATGGGACATTCCCAGCTGTACTAGGAGATGCTGCGAGATATTGAACCTGGGACTTTCTGCTTGCAAGGCAGATGCTCTACCGCTGAGCTAGGACCCTCATACCATAGCTGCCTTATACTGAGGCAGACCATCAAGTTCAGTATTGCCTACACTGACTGGCAGCGGCTCTCCCTAGTTTCAGGCAGGGAACATTCCCTGATACAGTCATACCTCGGGTTAAATATGCTTCAGGTTGAGCGTTTTCAGGTTATGCTCCGCAGCGACCCGGAAGGAATGGAGCGCGTTACTTCGCTGCTCGCACATGCGCAGACGCTCAAAATGACGTCATGCGCGGAAGCGGCGAAACGCTACCCGTGCACGCACAGTCGCGTGTTACATTCTACTCAGGATGTGAACAGGGCTCCGGAACTGATCCCGTTCGCATCCAGAGGTACCACTGAGGAGTGAGCCACCAGTCAATGGCTTGTGATGCTAGACTGACTTTACCTACCCTTGCAGCTCCAACGGGGGCAGCAAGACCTCCCCAGCACTCTGCCAGTGGTCAGAGGTGATGAACCACCCTGGCCTGGTGTGCTGTGTGCAGCAGACGACCGGCGTCCCTCTGGTGGTGATGGTGAAGCCAGACACTTTCCTGATCCAGGAAATTAAAACCTTACCGGCTAAAGCAAAGGTCAGTGTGTTTGCTTTTTTGTCTTCAGACTCCTCCTCCCTTTGGGCAGTTTCCATAGGTGACAGGGGAAGCGAAAGGGGAGGGGGTTCTCTCAAGTCAGGGAGGAAGAAAAGAACAAGAGCACCCAGTAAACCGAGTAGAATTACAATGAATGGAAAATTGCACAGCCTGATAACATAAAAATGTAACATCAAATCAGCTTGCAGAGTCCTTGCAGAGGAGCACCGTGTTCCAAATGTTGTGTGTTAGCATAGGATTTTATTTGCCAAAGAATAACTTGCCAGCTTGCTGGTGATTCTGTGAATCATGATTTTCTAGATGGGCTCCGTCACATTGTATTTGACACTGTTTTTGTAATATTTATACGTTCAGTTAATGTATATATCTCTCAATGTCTTGCAATGGGTGGTGGACAGAGAAGCAGATCTAGCTGTCTTCTTACCTCCTCATCCCCATGTCTGTCTGTTTGTTTGTTTTAAACTTACTGAGTTCCATATTTCATTAAGTAGTTTAAATGCATATGAAGATCTGCGGAATGGTGCCACTTTGACTGATCATTTCCCTAGCCCCTTTTCCAAAGGCATCTCAGTGTGTTCAATGGCCCTAGTGAAGGTGCAGTCAATGTGCTGCCCCCCAGAAGTTGCTGGGCTATGACTCCCTTTCATCCCTGACTACTGACCATGATGCCTGGGACTGATGGGGGTTGGAGTCCCAATGACATCTGGAAAGCCACACAGATTCCCCATCCCAGAGATTCCCCATCCCTGAACTAGACTGTCAATTACCTTTACTGTCTCTAGCTACCTCGTGTCACAGTTCTGACCATCACTTGCCTTTACTGCCCCCTAGTTACCTTCTGTCGCAATGCTGCCTTGCTTTTCTGCACATTGCTATACTGGTTTATGCTCACCGTTGGAAATGTAAGGAGCTGCCTACCTTTCGTGTATCTTTGGCCTTCCAGATCCAAGACATGGTGGCCATCCGGCACACGGCCTGCAACGAGCAGCAGCGGACCACCATGATCCTCCTGTGCGAGGATGGCAGCCTGCGGATCTACATGGCCAACGTGGAGAACACGTCCTACTGGCTCCAACCCTCCCTCCAGCCCAGTAGCGTCATCAGCATCATGAAGCCCGTCCGCAAGCGCAAAGCGGCGGCCATCAGTAAGTCGCTGCAAGGTCAGATTGGCTAGGGACTGTGAAGTGGTGCATACACTCTCTGCATTGTGTTGTTTGGCTTACTTATCCGAATAATCTGATTTTTATTAATCATTACTACTACTTCTGTTATAATCACTATTGTTCCTTACTATGATTATGGGGTTGTTGTTTTTGTTTTCACTGCCATTGATACCCATGGATTTCATAGGCCTAATATTCTTCAGGAAACTGTATTATTCAGACGGACCGTTTTGAACCCAAGATTCTTTGCACAAACAGCCTTTATGGATGTGTTTCTGGGTCTCATTGTTTGTCTAGCAGTCTTGTGTTTCTAGGTGGTAATACCGCATTGCAATATTTTATATGAAAATGTGGCTTGAGAATACTCAAAGAAATAAAAGCAAATGAAATAGAGACTTCCCCCTACCTTTAAAGGGGCCTGCAGTCTAAAATTAAATTTAGTGTAGAAGATGAAGAGGAGGGAGAGATTAGGGATGAATGTTGGGGAAATGCTGTTACGTGTGTAGTTGGATTTGACTGGAGTTTGAGATGAGGCCCAAAGTTTTGAGCTTGCAATAAAGGGTGTAGAATCATAGACGTGTACAGTTGGAAGGTTCCCTGAGGTCATTTATTTATTTATTGGATTTATGTCCTGCTTTTCCTCCAAGGACACAGGTGGCGCTGTGGGTTAAACCACACAGCCTAGGACTTGCCGATCAGAAGGTCGGCGGTTCGAATCCCCGCGATGGGGTGAGCTCCCGTTGCTCGGTCCCTGCTCCTGCCAACCTAGCAGTTCGAAAGCACGTCGAAGTGCAAGTAGACAAATAGATACCGCTTCAGCGGGAAGGTAAACGGCGTTTCCGTGCACTGCTCTGGTTCGCCAGAAGCGGCTTAGTCATGCTGGCCACATGACCCAGAAGCTGTACGCCGGCTCCCTCAGCCAATAAAGCGAGATGAGCGCCGCAACCCCAGAGTCGGTCACGACTGGACCTAATGGTCAGGGGTCCCTTTACCTTTACCTTTCCTCCAAGGAGCTCGAGGTGGTGTACATAATTTTGTCCCCCCCCCCTTTTGTCCTGACAACAGCCCTATGAGGTAGGTTCAGCTAAGAGGCAAAGACTCTCCCAAGGCTATCCTGTGGGCTTCAGGTAGTTTGAAGTCTGGTCTCCTGTTCTGACACTGCACAACATGGACTTTTGCTGGTGCTCTGAGGAAGGTATCTCAGGCAGGCCGAGAGAGGAAAGAGCATCATGTAGATTCAAGTGACTTGTTGCAAGCATTGTTGCTTTACTCCCAACACAGTCAGCTATAGCTGGTGGTTAAGTATGATGGGTCCATAGACATCTGGAGGGACACAGATGTTCCTCATCTCACCCTGGTCCACTGACCCAAAGGTGGGCTTGTGGGAGTGGTTTGGTGCAGGTATACCAAATAAGGATGTCAAGAGCGCTAGAGGGATCAGTTCTAGTGCTTTATTGTAATAAAGAGTAAACTTACGTAAGTCAGCCTGCCAGGCCTTGCTGTTACAGGCATGGAACAGACACCGCAGCAGTGAGAGGTTGCCATGACTTGTCTGCGACGAAGCAAACACTCGTCCAGCCTTTATGCACAAAGCAGCATACGTCAGTTTTCCCAGAACCTCCCATCACACCTGGTTGGTGAGATCATAGATGGCATAGAAGCTTCTTCCCACTCTGGGTCTAGAGCCCAGCATCCCAGTGCCTACAAATAAACACAGCTTCAAAGCAAGCCAATTAGGGTATACCAAAGCAAGGAAAAAAATAAACATATGTGAGCTCAACTACCAATTATTTTCGGGGTTTTCTTGACTACCAGGATGGTGTTTGCAGGCCTTCCGGAACATTTCTCTTTTGTTCAAAATATGCATCCTGCTTGATTGATTGATTTTATTTTATTAGATGGGCAGCAAAAATGTTTCTTCTGATGGTTTTTAATATCTGTCTGGCCATCCTCTCTGTATACAGTTGGCCTGCTACTTACGCGAGGGTTCAGTTCCAAGGGTCTGCGCCCAAAATGGTGCAAAATTCGGGTACCACCTAAACTGGGCTCTGGGTAGGTTGCAGGCGGGCCCTTCTCATGATCTTCGCAGAGAAAACCCACTGGGTGTGTGGGTGAGATGAAAATAAATGGAGAGTGGGGAATGACTGGTTTTCCTTGCTCTTCATTTATCTCCTTTCCCTGCTCCCCCCCCCCATGTCGTGTTTCGATCATGTATGTAAAGTGAGTGAAAGTTGCGGGCCCAGGATATATTTTTAAATGTATATACCGCATTTTGTCAATAAACCATAAGACGGGTTTAAGTACAGTATAGAACATAACAAGCTACACACAAACACACACACATAACATAATACCATAATATATAATAATATATATATAATATATAAATACTACTCATAATAACAAGCAATAAACAGTAATACATAATAAACATAATGGATACATACTAAGCAGCAGTGTCAGATTATACACAGTCAGTCTAGTGATTCACTCCACAACTCAAACCCCTGTAAACTTGCAGAGTCTCACAACAGGCACCCGAAAGTTTGAACTCTGCTCTTTTTGATTTTATATGATTTAGTGTTTTAAGCTTGATTCTGTGATGCAGTTTTGTGGAGCTGGTGGATTGCTTATTGTGAGTTTAGAAATTACTTTATAAATGAAGAGTTCTTGACTTTAACTTTCGGTGTTTTTTATCTCTCTCCCCCCCCCCCCACTTCTTCCTCCAGCAACCCGCACCTCCACCCAGGTGAATTTCCCCATTGACTTCTTTGAGCACAACCAGCAGCTGACGGACGTGGAGTTTGGTGGCAATGACCTCCTGCAGGTCTACAACGCCCAGCAGATCAAGCATCGGCTCAACTCCACCGGCATGTATGTGGCCAACACCAAGGTGAGCATCCTTGCAAAGACCGGCCTTCTGAAAGGAGGAGGAGCTTCTGGGCAGACAGGGAAGATCACTAGTCCAAGGTGCTCGGGGTGGTACTGGCGGTCATCTCTGGCCCATTTATTTACTTATTCCATATAATTTATACACCCCTTGTTTGTAAAATAAACAAATCTCAAAATGCTTTAGCAATAAGAAATAGAAAGCACAATAATTTAAGGCATTCAAAACGATAAAATACCAAAAGCAGATAAAAACTTCCATCGACTTTGCAAATAAAAATGTTTTTGGGAGATGCCGGGAAGAGTACAGCAATTGTGCCTGCCAGGTGTCAAAAGGCAGAGATTTCCAAATTAT